CCCTCATTGCCTCTTTTCCTAGAAACTATCCAGTCTGTACTTAAACTCTTCTAGCTGTGGAGATCCTCATACCCAAATCCTGAATGGGAAAGGACTCTCATCTGTTTTTATTTCTTCTGTTTTGTTTTCATCACCATATCCTGTCTTCAGCCACATATATAAAGGAACTGCACATTAACTGCTTGTGCAACAAACTCATGAGCAAAGGGGAAGAAAATAATTTTAGGAAAGAAATGGAGATGTCTACAAGAGGAGAGATAGCTTTTTAAGGCCTTAGAAGGTTGAAATTACTGTCCTGAAACATTCTCTTGCTCTAGAAATGACCAGCAGAGGAATCAAGAGGCCTTTATGTTCTCTCTTTTCTTCAGCTTGTGGTACCCCCTGCTGGTGAAAACTTTTGACCCAACTGGCAAGAATTGCAAAACTGATAGAGAAATACTTTCAAATTCAGAAAAGTCACAAGTACTCCAGTGTTAGAGGCCTTGAAGGACAATACCATGCGTCATATGACTATTTTATGATGTTTGTCTGTTTTTATGTTGTTGTTGTTTTGTTTTTAATGGTTCTGTGACTTGGCATACTCTGTGGTATCCAGAGTTTTTAAAAAATATAGAAAAAAATATAGACTTCTGTGAACACTACTTCTGCAAATATTCCAAGAACAAATTGCTGAGTTATCTACCAAAAGTATCCCAAGGTACTTACTTTCCAAGGCCCAAACTGATATCGTGCAGGGTGCTCCTTCTCATTGGCTGCTCTTATCTACTTTTGAAGTGACTATAATTTGTACTCAGAGCAGGATAACAATCTTTTGTACACTTCAAATCATAGACTTTTAAATAGAAATTTGTGCAACAAATTTATTGAGCATGGGCTATGTGCCAGATACTCAGCAAGAAATTGGAGTAGGTACAAGGAGTCAAAAGCCCTTCTCCCAAGAGGTGCTTACCCTAGTGGGTGAGAGTTGAATGACTGTCACAAGAATGGATGAGTGCTTAGCTGACATGGCGTCAAACCCTTTCCTGGCCTCCTGCCAGAATCAAACCAAGTATTAACTCTCTCATAGCACCAAATATTTCTTCTTAGCATTCCTCATCTCTGTGATTTTATATTTCTGCGCTTACCTATTTAATGCATATCTTGGTCATTTGTCTCTGGGCTTGTAGAGGGTCAAGGTGAAGAAGACACAGCTTTCTTCCATTTAACAGAGCCTGATACATGTATGTGCTCAAATATTTGTTCAAAGAATGAGACAGCATGAGAGGAGAAAATTACAGATCTGTTAGTAAAGCGGCAAGAAGCCCCAGAGGATGTCTGACATTGGAATGACTTTCATCTTTGAAAGATGAAGAGAGGTTCCCAATGGAGAATACGTACACATCAAGGCCAGGGGTATTGAGCATCATGGGATGGGGAAAGAGTTGCTGTTTACTAGGAAGTGTGAATAGAAGGCTTAAGCTGAGGCGTATGCCATAGTTTGAATATTTTTGGAATTTTCAGATTTGGGTTTTCTCCAGAGGGAAAAAAATGGGAACAATAAATTAAATTCTATGATAATGGCAAAAAATATCCAATTTTCCTGTTACTAGGATTGTTTTAATTCTTAAGTTTCGAATGCCATCTGTGACTTTGTGTTTTCTTTTCTTCTATGTCTCTTCTATTTCCACCTTTAGGGCTGTTTACCCATTGCCAAACACTCACATAGAACACCCATCGCCAAAGCAAGCCAGAAGCTTCAACTGTGGGCTCATCCAAACCTATGATGGTTTGGAGGAGCCCCACCCCTCCCACAAAAGACTATATGTTAAGGGTTGGGGCCAAGAGTACAGTGTTGTGGGTGCTTTGGAACGTTAACGACTTAGTGAAAAGTTACTGAGGAAAAATTTCAGACCTCCACCTATCTAAATCATTGTGTTTCCCAGCTCCTGTCTTGAGCAGCTTGCTCTGCCATGTACATATAAAATTTTCATTCCTTGTTAGAGGGTAAAAAGAGAGAGGGGTCAGCAAGTCAGTGACTTCTAAGCAACCTTTCTCTTTAGAAGTTCATTGTCTCTGGTAATGTTTTATGTAAACCTGGCTAACATAGGGATCATATAGCTGATGTTCACATCTTAGTTTTTAAATTTGTGAATACCTCCATGTTTTGGAAAGGCTGTTTTTCTTTTCGTGTGTGTGTGTGTATTTGGTTCTACCCAAATCTTTCTATAAAATGTCATTTTTTTAATAAGCAGTGAAACCTCTTTTGGATGTTAGTATTCCTTTGGAAGTCAGTGATTTGTGTTGAAGACAACTCTCTATGTATTATTTACCCTGAATGGAATGAGATTGGCTGGAAGTTATGCCTCCAAGGAAATAGCAAAGCTCTGATTCATACTCATTTGCTCATTTGTAGTTTTCAAGTTAATTCTCTTATCAGATTTCCTTTTATTTCCTACTGGGCCAAAGTGAGCAAGTTTGGATGGAGACAAAATATCTGCTGTATTTCAAATTTATGATTAAGAAGGTCACATATACATTTTTAAACAGACTCCTTTTTGATAATGAATGAAGAATAAAGTTTTTAAATGTCATCAGCTACAAAACTATTCATTTTCATTTTTGTTACTATTCTTTGCCTGTTGATTGCCTGATGATGGTGAGAGAGAGTGAGGCTGAACCGGGTTGTATTTCTTGTCTTTCCTTTGACCACCTGGAGTAGTTTTACTAGTACAACAGTCTGCCTCTGGCCAAACCATTAATGACTAAAAAAAATGTGTTTCTTTTCTTGAGTGCAATTCCTTCCCCAGGCCAATTGTTAAGAATAAATAAATGAAGAATTCCACTTTAGGAATTCACATTTTGGCAAAATGAGGAATATAAAAGCTAGACTCTTCTCTGTGCAGATTCACGTAGTCCTTATCTCTGCTATGCTTTCTACTGCTGGGGTGTGCTCTGCAGGAACTCCATCAGAGAGTTTCTTTGACATCTGTAGCTTTTAATTGGGTCCAGCTAATTCTATAGGAAGTCAGAGGATGGGGAACGCAGAGTTGGGGTATTGTGACCCATGATTTACTCTCTGTGTACTCATCTAGGACTGACCACAACCTTCAAGAGAAAACTTCTGCCCATCTGGCCTTCTCTTTTCAACTATATCCTGAGGGGTTCCAATTATGACTTCCTCTGCTTGTCCCTCTGCACCCCTAGGTGGGAAGTAAGGTGTCTTGTCTCTGTGTTATATCATCTTTCTGACCCATGAACTTTTTTCAATAGTCTTTTTATAAATAAATGGAAGATACTCTGCCATTCTATATGTAGTCTACATTATATTCAATGTGTAGTCTACACCTACACATTGGACCAGCATTCTTAGGAACAGGCTGTCAATTGGGAGTTGGATCCAGATAAACTGTTCTAATATACTTCTACATCTAGATTTATCCTTTCCTGTAGTGCTTTTTACAGCAGAGAGATCATTAACTCTTGGAATGACCTATCCATGGTTAGGAGCATTGTTCCTATGTTACATTTAATTTCACCTCTTGGGGATGCCTGTTCTTTCTGCACTGAGACAAGAATAACAAAGGCTAAAGATCATAGCAGGTTCTATGACGACTAGAGCAATGTACCTAGAGAAACCTATCCTAAATATGTATTTAGTCAACAGATTTTCGTCTGCTAGGAACATAATGACCATATTTAGATGTATGTGTAAACCCATAGGGACCACCACATGCAAGAATGGTCATCATATTTTTATCATTTATGAAATGCCTAGCCCCATCAGTTGAAATTTAGGTGAAATGGATTTTTCAATCCATAAAAGAAGAAGTCTTTGACCTTTTCATTCCCCAGTGAGGAATCAGTGGCTGTCACTTGATACAATTCAAAGACAGAATTCCACTGTGTGACTGCCAGGAAGGGTGGTGAGACATTAGAATGTGGTTGGATGAGTCAACAGAGATTTAATAGTAACATCCATGTGCTCACTATCCTATAAGTGCCAGGCACTGTGCTCTGTGTATTGTACGTGCTATCCCATTTAATCCTTATGACTACATGAGGCTAATCCTGTTATTCACTGCAATGTGTTGAAAAGCTCAGCATAGATAGAGATCAATAAACCTGCCCCAGGCAGCAGAGGGAGGCTATGAACTCATGTCTTCCTAGAGCCAAAGGGAGTGTAGCCTCAATGGTTGATGTCAGGACAACTAAGGGACCTTGGAAGCTATCTATTGGTCCTGAATCTGGGCCTCTTGGTGCTGTCTTACAGGTGATTCATATTTACACCAAACCTTAAGAAATGCCCCTCTACACTGTTATTGTTATGAGTGCCTCTCTGGTTCTCTGGGACTGTTGCTTCTATAGGAATGTCTATGAATCAACTCCAGCTTTTTCTTTCTTTGAGCTAAAAGACTAACCTTTACCCTCACTAACCACAAACCCCACTTTAGTCTATGGCTATGTGTTAGATTCTTCATTAGTACATCCCTGAGAAAGGCTTGACTGTGTCTCTTATGAAATATCTAAACTCTACTGGTTAAAATTCAAGTAAGATGGATCTATAAGTCCATAAAAGAAGCCTTTAACCTTTTAGTTCCCTAGGGAGGAATGAAAAAGCTGTTACTTAGTATAATTCAAAGATAAACAGCATTATGCATTGGGACTGTTGGGGAGGGTGTTTAGAGGTACAAAAGCAGAGGAGCAGCCTGACCTTTCCTCCCTCCAAAAAGAAAATGGAGGAGGCATCATAGAGCCTCATTGATTTCTCATTATAAGCTTAAATTTATAAAATGCTCATTGTTATGGAAAAAACTACTAAATGAAAATGATTTCTAGTTTCAGGAGGGCTTGTGTTTACTTGACCCTGACATTGGAGAGCCTGCCTTACCTCTGTTTCTGTTGAATGGACTAAATATGATGTTGAGAATGGGGGATGGGCAAAGAAAGCACCCTAACTTCCCAGTCCTCTAATGCAACTAGAACCATCTGACTGTGATTTTTCCCTTGCACATGTCCCAAAGGAAGCTGGCTAAGAAGCAGAAGGAGACACAGAGTGGAGCCCAAAGGGAGATGGGCCCAGTGGCCTCAACTGACAAGCCTGCCACCAAGCTCAGCACCACCCGCAATGATGAAGGCTTCTCCTCCAGTTCTCAGGATGTTAATGGATTCAGTAAGTCGAGTCAACTAAGGTTAATGGAGTATCAGTGGTCAGTTTTGGTTCAGGTACCTCTCCTATGGATCATTCATAATGACTAAGTCCAGTAAACTATGGTATCAGAATGCTTTCCTGGGATATCAGAGAGGATGGGTCTTCTCCCTGGCAAAGCTTTGGGGTAGCCTAACCTGTTGTAAAGAGACTGTTCAATAATATGGGACTGGGAGGGGCTCAGCCAATGAACATGCCACATGAGCATGAAGAACTGAGTTTGGATCTACAGCACCCATAGAAAATGTTAGTCTGGCTGGCATGTACCAATAAGCTCAACACTGGGAAGATGGAGATGGGAAGACTCCCTAGGGCTTGCTATTTAGCCAGTCTAACCTAACCAGTAAGCACCAAGTCCAGTGAGAGTCCCTGTCGCAAAAAAGAAGGTAGGGAGTGATTGGGGTAGATACAAGACAGCAACTGCTGATGTCCACATGAATGCACAAACACACGGCATACCCATAAACCACACATAGAGAGATGGGGAGGGAAGGATGTAGGAGGGAGGAAGGGAGAGAGAGAGAGAGAGAGAGAGAGAGAGAGAGAGAGAGAGAGAGAGAGAGAGAGAGAGAGAATCTATGCTTACGCAGACGGAATGGGAACAAGTCATCTTAAATAGAGACAGGTAGTTAAAAATAATAACAGTACAAAGGAGGAGGAGGATTGTGACCTTAAGGCAAAAAGCATCCTGTACTGAATTTAGTGACTGACAATTTTCAAAATTATTTCACATTTTACTGTGAAAGCTAGATGAGTCATGGAATGTTTCTGTCTCTGTCCCTAATATTTAAGTAGCAATCTCTAAAATCCCAAGTTTTCTGGGTCCCATATACATAGTGGACGCTGTGCCTCCTGAGCCTAGATAATTCTGTTTGGTCAAGACTATCCTCATCTTCATGCAGACTTAATAAGGCATCCTTGGCTAACATAAGTAGTTTAGATTCCACAGCTGACTCATCCAAAGGAGAGCTCCAAAGCTGGGTAGGTATAAGCCTAGGTTGGTGGCCAGGCTTGAGAAAGCTGCCTTTTATTCTAATATTTCACCCATGCTATAAACTAGTTCTTCCCTGGATTTAATAATAAAATAATAACTTTTCACTAAATATCTTATACATTACAGACAGAATGAACCACAATTTGTTAAGATCACTTTAGATATGGTCTGTCTAGAGGACGTGGAGTGATGAGAATATGAAAGAATAAAGGAAACCGATAGATAATGTCACACAATCTATGATGCAAACACTCTCATTTCATTTCCACCATAATCCCATGAGATACTTAGTGTTACAGATCCTATTTGTAGGCAAGATATGTTTGTTTCAGCTTCCCAGAATCACATAGATCATTTCTCATGGATTTAAGGCCCCCAAGCTGGAATGCAGCATATAACTTGAAAGGTTTTCCAACAAAATCTCTTTGTGGATGAGAGATAGAGCAGGGATTGAGGGCAGTGGATTTTTAACATCATCCAGACAGATACCATGCTTAGGAACACACAACCTTGAGGAAGTCAATGATTTTCAAATGTAGGTGAGCTGTATTTGGTGGGCAAACGTTAGTTTAAACCCACCCTCTCCCTAGAAAAAGCTGAGAAAAAGGAGTACAAGTGTCTTTTACCTGTATTCACTAACTGGTAACATTTTTCAACACTGACATCGGGTTGCACTTTCTCTCACTAAACCCAATCTTCTGAGCTATTTAGAAACTAAATTTAAGTTTTTTGGACATTTGGGTATATGGTTCCTGTGATATAAAACAGCTCTTCAACACACCACAATAAAATTAACTCTTTAAGAAGTGTGGCCTTGATGCAATGACAGCAAAGATGCTTATCCACAGTTAAAAGTCCTTTGAGTCCCCATAATATTTTGGTTCCTTCACTGTAAATCAGGATCCAGACAAGGCACTCACATTCCATTTGGATTGTTCTCTCTGTCAGTTTCCCTATAATCTCTTGGATTTATTTTCTCAGGAATCTGACAACTTTCAGAAGTCTAAGGGGGTTGTTCTATACGTGGTTCTCCTGCCAGAGCTGTCTGCTTGACCATCAGATTTCATTTAGGTTAATCATTTTGGAAAAAGATACACAACATAGTGGTATTGTTTATTGCTCTAAACTTTATCAACAGCCACATGATATCACTCTGCCCCTACTGACAATGCTAAGTTTGAGTGTTACTTAAGGTTGGATTTTTGCAACAAAAATCTAAAAAGATACTGATGATCTTATGAATAAATACTTAATTTTTGCTGCTTCTTCCTCTGAGATAAGAGGCAATCTGTGATCTGCTTCATCCTACACACAGCCCTTTCCTGCCTTAATCTGGGTGAATTACCTGGATTCATTTATTTCCTAGGGATTCAGAAAGGGGAGCAGACAGAGAACTGGAAAGGCACAGGAGGGCAGACTAAGAAGTGGGCTTAGCAAGTCCTTGAAAATAATGTGGTCCTGAGTTGTACTGAGGTATCTCTGGTGCTTCTACTTTGAGCATTGCAAGGTTTTCTTTAAACTGTACCTCCTGGTACTTATCCATGCCAAACCTCTTCTGTGTAGCCCCACCTCCTGTGCAAACATTTTTCTTATTAAAAAGACACCCTGGAAAGACATCAGATGCCAAAAGATTATGGTCCAAGAAGCTTGACAGTCACTGTGACCCACAATTGCAGGTATTTAATCTCAAGTTTCATAGTCACATGGGAAAACAACCTAGGTCACACTGATTTCTTAGATTTCAAAGAAAAATATCACCACTGTTTTCACTATGGAGAAAAGTTAAACCTCAAAATAAAAATGCTAAAGGCTAGGGTGGATTTTTCACTAAAGAGAAAGAAAGGGGAAGAACATTCAGTGGAATCTGATGAGGCATTTTAAAGATCAAGGATAGTCTTCCCAAACAATTCAATGTGTCAAATGTCCATATTTTACATTTGTATTACATGCATATGTAAAATCATGTGTAATCCTATGTACCAGTGTATACATATTTATTTTAATGATATCCCTGTTTAAAAGACAGAAAAAAACAACTTTCAATTGACTGGTTATATTAAATTATTATGAAATCTTGCATTTGTTTGAATCACTGAATATTTTAGAATTCCTTCTATGCATCTAGTGTCTAGGACTGCGGCTATAAACACACTCTAGGGAATTTTTTGAATGCCCTAAAATGCATCAGGTAACTTTTAAAAATGCCCTATGGAACCACTAGGATAAGATTTGAAGGAGAAAATGTAAGTAATGCTTACACTGGAGATGTAGAAATTGCTTCTAAAATCACCCTGATGTATGTAAAATTGAATCTATTTTCGTGACATTAGGGAAGTGGCTGTCTGGCTTCTGAATCGGCATCTTTAAGAACGACTGAGATTATGTGCAAATTTTGAGACAGCATTGAGAGAGAGAGAGGGCAGGAGAACAGTTGTTACATTGGGTAAGATTGTAGAAGGGCATGCTTTGGGCAATTATTTCATTATTGAGCAGGTGGGCCCTAGCTGTATTCAAATTCTGCCTCCTCCTGCTTAGGTCTGTTTTCTGGCCTTATCTATTGCCAGTGACTGCTACATTTGGCAACACCTATTCAGTCAAGCCTCCCAATACTGTATAGGAATAATGATCTCTAGGGCAGCAGGGTGACAGGGCTCTGTTAGATATAGGCTGTTATTTGGAGTTCTTAGGCATTCTTTTAAAAGCAGTACATGAAACATTTCAAGGACAAACAATGTGCATTGTTTTCCATTTAAAGAAAAGCTGGCTTTTATTAGGTAATCTGATTGTGATCTTGGCTGTCTTGAGTACTTGGATTTTTTTTTTCCTGTGATCTTCAGCTCACTGGGATTGCTTTCTGGGTCTTTCTTCAAGCACTCACCTTATATATCATTCTTACTTCTGCTTCTTTATTTCCTGTATTTGCATGTCTTCTCCTGGCTCATGTCTAGACTAAGTAAAATGCTTGAAAACAAATCACAGTTGTATCCCTATGACACGTGAGCTCGACTATTTGCCTTTCTCATACTGCATTTAGGCCTCCTTGTTCACTGGCTACAGTTGACCGCGCTCCCATGGAGCTAGAGTTACAGGAGATTGTAAACCACCTAACTTGGGCACTGAAAACCAAACTCTGGCCCTTTGAAAGAAGAACAAGCAAGAGCTTTTAACCACTGAGCCATCTCTCCAGCTTCCAGATAAATATTTCTACTTTTGCAACCCATTTCAACAGAAGACCCTCATTTTCATGTTGTAGATAACTTATAGGTTTAATATGTTGTCTCTTCTACATGTGGGAAAACTGGGGTACAGAGTACATGGTCTTTGACATAATTGGGACACATTTTTCTGTGTACTGGTTAAAGTTTATCCACTCAGTATTGTCAAGAATTTAGGAAAATACCCAACTAGAACACCCATAATAAAACGATAGTAAAAAATTAAAATCAGAAAATTATAAAAACAATAAAGTCAAGTCAATGCAGCTTTATAATACATCATAATTTAATCTAAATATGCAGGCTAGATCATATTGAAATCACCAGACACTGTAACATTAAGTAAGTGTTCTGCTAAGTCAGGAGCAGTTTGAGAAAAATAGTTATAAATTAGGAACTCACAGATAAACATTGTGTCCTATTTTATTTGTGTGTGTGTATGTGCATGTGTGTGTGTGTGTGTGTGTGTGTGTGTGAATATGCATGTCGATATATATTTGTGTACAGGTGCCTGCATCATATGTCTCTCAACTTCATGGTAGCAAACACTCAAAGAGGAGAAAAATTCCGGGGAGTACCTACTATGTACTAGATCTTTTGCTTTTTTGTAAATTCTTCTCAAACTTCCTCAGAATTATATGATTTCTATATTACCTCCATTTTGAAAATGAGAGAACCAAGTTTATGGCAGCTAAAGTAAACAAGCCCAAAATTATGTAGCACAGAAATACTAGAGGTGAGATTAGGAGCCAACT